AACAAAAAAAAAAAAAAAAAAAAAACAAGGCCCAGAGGGAGGGATGGCACAGGGCTAGGCTGAAGCTGGGTGGGTCACTGAGGGCTTCTCTTTGTCCCTTAATCAGGGAGCAGGACTCAGCATCTCAGGAAAGATCAAGATAAGACCAAGATAACCCAGGGTGGAAAGCAGGGAGTGGGGCTTAATAGGGTGAGCTCTAGTCCAGCTTCTGGAACCGCAGGGAGAGGCTTCCCAGCCCGAGGCATCCAGCATTTGCTGCCTCTGTGTGTGTGGCCCTGGAGTGGCCACGGTGGGGTGCTCAGCGAGAGGCAGGAGACAGGAGTGGAGCACATGGCGGCCACCGTCTCCACGACAAGGAGCAGACCACTCTTTCCCTCTGGCTTCAACCTCCCCTTCTGTAAAAGGGGAGAGGGGAGTAGACTAAACACTCTGGGTGCTAATGTTTGGCTCTGGTTTTCTTCTCTTTTCTTTTTTTTTTGAGTTGGAGTCTCACTCTGTTGCCCAGACTGGAGTGCAGTGGCCGCTCCCGGCCACCGCAGCCTCGACCTGCTGGGCTCCGGCGATCCTTCCGCCTCAGCCTTCCGAGTAGCCGGAACTACAGGCGTGCGCTACCACGTCCGGCTACTTTTTTTATTTATTGTAGAGATGAGGTCTCACCAAGATGCCCAGGCAGGTCTCGAACCTGTGGGCTCAGGCAATCCACTCACCTCAGCCTCCCAAGGTGCAGGATTACAGGCGGAGCCACCGAGCCTGGCTGGCTCTCATTTTCTAGGGTCAGTGGAAGGGCCCTTCAGAAAAACAGGTTAAAAGGTTTGCGCGAAGGTCACGAAGACGATGGTCAAGGGCCCTGACCGCACTCACTGACCTCCCTCCACACTCTCCCTGAGCTCACCCCGGAGGCCAGGGATGTGGCCCGTACTGCCCCCCAGGGGTGGGAAGGTGGGTGATGGTGCAGGAGGCGGGAGTTCCAAGTTGGCCCTGGGACGGCTGGCTGTCAGGGTGGGACGTGTCCAGTATCTCTCTGCCAGAGTCCTGCATCCCCTCTTCTGGACCTGAGAGGACAGGTAGGGAGCAAGGCCTGCTGTCCACCCAGGGGAGGCCTCGCACCCAGGGACGTGGAGGTGGGTGCAGTGGTGCTTGCCCCCTCCTGACTGATACCTTTGCAGGAAAGTCTTTCTTCCCTCGTTTCCCATCTTTGCCTTCCACAGTTCCCTTCTGGCACCTCCCCTGACCTCACTCTGACAGGCTCAGCCTGGCTTCTCAGGGATATATGCACTCAGAACTCGAGATCAGAAAGGATGGACTCCTCTCAGGAGACAGCTCTGCAGGGCATGTGGGAGAGAGGCAGAGCAGGGTGGGAAGATAGGGACCCGTGAGTTCCAGGCCCTCTTGAGATCCCCAGTGCCCTTGCAACCTGAACAGCCTGCACTTCTCCCCTGCACTGATTCCCAGGGCTACTTCATGCCAGACCACACAGCCTGGAATCTGTCTAAAATTGCCAGCCGGGCCGTAGCACCCAAGCATGGCCAGTTGGGGTGATGCACACTCTCTTTGTTGCAGGGAGTGCCAGCTTTCAGCTAGGGCACAGGGCAAGCTGGGACTGCACAGTGCCTCCCAAGCATCTTCTTAGCACAGGCCTCCCTCGTGTGCGTGTGTGGGGGGGACACACTACATAAAGATGGCCTCTGCTGCCACAGGGGAGCTTTCAGTGCTGCTGGGAAGGGATCCCCGGCTAAAAGAACCCTGGTTGCTCCCAGATGCCTAAACCTCTTTCAGAAAGGAAAGAAGTCTTTTACCTGCACTCAGAGCTCAGGATGGCACACCTCTGGAAAAGAATAAGGGGCCTTCTGGAAAGCGCATGCGACAGGGAACAAGGACGCGGCCGTGTGTCGACCTCGGTCTCACTGTGCCCTTGCCAGGAAGCCCTGTCGCTGGAGGCCGGTAACTCAAATCCAGACCAAACGTGACTGTCCGCTGAGCACTCTGTGGAGGCCCCGCCCAAGAAAGGACCCCAGTCCAGCGAGAGCCTCTAGAGCCTCCCTGCAGCGGCTGCAGGGCCTCCCACCCCTTCCCCTGCTCCTCCTCTGGGACCCAGGCCTGGGCCCTGCTCACCCAAGCGTGAAGGAGGCCCCAGGGCGGCTAAATTATGGAGCAGCTTTCCAGGCCCCTCTCAAAAAGGCCCAGGCGCCCCAGCTGAATAATTTACGAGCTCAGGAAGACCCAGTGGTTCCTGACATACAAAAGTAGGTCAGACATAGGTTTGGCCCTGAGTGGGGGCTGCAGGGCTCAGAGTGGCTTCCCCACTTGCCTGGCCAGTGCCAGCTGGCCCAAATACTGCGGGGCGATGAGGGGAATGCGCAGGAAAGGCATCCGTGACCTCCTCTTCCTGGCCCACACAGCCCCCAAATCCCCTGCCCCAGCCCCCAGAGCCTCCTTTGGAGGTCCAGGCAGCCTGCCCTCAGCCGCCCAGAGTTACCCGCAGGGTCTGCGCCTGCCCAGGCTGCTCCTCCTCCCCCCCACAGGCCTGGGCCGCGAGTGCCACAGGGTCTTGAACAGTGCACACATTCATCATTGGTGCACACCTGAGACCCAAGCAGCCCGGCGCAGGACTGGGATTCAGGAGGGGCGAGGTAGGGCGTGGTCACCCCAGGTGGTAAGTAAGGAAGTGACCAGGGCCAGTCACAGCCACTTCCGCTGTGCTCTAAGCGATGCTGGGATGACACCTCCTGGGAGGCTCTGGAGCCTCTGCGGCCTCTCTTTCAAGACACAGCTTGGGGCACAGGTGGGGACGGGATGCAGAGCCACTCTTGGGGATAGAAGGGAGACACGGCCAGTAAAGCCATCAGGTCAGCACCCCAGCCCTCCAGTAGGAGAGCCAGAAGGGGTTTCAAACTCACGCTTCAGAGGAGAAACCAAGACCCCAAATCACAAGAGGGAACTAGGGGTCCTGCCGGTATCGAACACCTGGCCCTGGCCTGCATGGGCTCTTGGCAACCCACACAGCTTCCCCGACTCCAGGGATCAGAGTCGCAGCTCAGTGTCTACAGGGTGGATGAGGTTCGCCCTTTCTGGGCCAGATCCCCGGGCCCCCGCCTTCACTCCAGCACAGACTCATAAGATGCACCAAGGACAGATACTACCCAGGAGTCCGACAGCCCAAGCCTGAGTCCTTTTCTACTACAGCGAGCTTGAGAAGGCCACAGGCCACGTGGGACACAGCACCCTGGGAAAAGGACGGCCTCATTCAGGTGCGGGAATCCGTCCCCACCCTCTTAGTGCCCAAAATGAGGACCTGAAGGAATTAAGCACAGGGTGGGCTGACAGGTGCTTGGCCCCAGCTGGATGGCCCTTGGGGGAGTCTCTCCCCTCCAGGACTTTACCTCTTCAGTGAACAAAAGAGGGAAGGAGGGAGACGCCAAGCGAGCACCCAGGCCCCCCTCCCTGGTCCCAGCAGTCCCAGGCACTCACCTCCTCCCCCACTCTCACTCAGCGTCTCCGGCTCTGCCCTGCGTGACAGTGTTCTGGAAGCAAAGGTCACGCAGTCATCACTTTGATTCTGTTTTATTCTGCATTTCATATATTATCCAGTTTCACATTCTCACAGGATCAGCAACGACAATAGCCACCAAGTCTCCCAAGTCTCAGCGGCAAGACGGTCACATCTGCGGCTGAAGGGAAAGCGCTGATACGCTTGCAAAAACAAAACAACATTGCACAATGTTTCCTTCATTTTTCTAAAACTAAAGCCTGACACCAGAGCTCAATGCTGAAGAACGGAAACCCTTTTCTTCTTCATGCCTCAAACTAAACATTAAACCTACCTGACAGGGAGAACAAGGTCTCTTCAATAATTAATGGAACACACATGAAAAATCCTCTTGGATGCATAAATATTTCGTGACACAGGGTACAAAAATACTTTTCACGTTTTGGTTGGTTTCGAGGCTTGGAAAGAGGGGCGCAGCAGTGGGTGCGCTGTGGGGAGGTGAACGGTCAGGGGCAGGAGGTTGCTCCCGGCTGCAGGCCCAGCTGAAAAGGGGGCGGCGGAGCCTGGTTTGACCCGGGGACGGGCGGGCAGACACTGTCTCCTGGCTGGGTGGTGGCTGTGGCGCCTGGAAGCATGTGGGGGCGGGGACAGGGCCGGCTGGGCACCCCCTGGCGAGGGGCTTGGGCCTCCCTGTAGAGAGTGGGTGTAGGGGCGGGGTGTGGAGTGAGGGACCAGGCAGGATGAACCCCTGGTGGCTGGGACCTATTGCTATGGTGACAGTGAGGACAAACTGTACACTCACACAGACACAAGTGTGAGTGTCTTCATTCATGCCAGAACACATGCAAAACCAAATGCCTTGTTTCATGGTGGAGTTCATGGAAGCAAGTCTGGGCGTGGGGCTGGGTCTTCCTGGGTCCCAGCGAGGCCTCCAAGCTGGATCTGGGTGCCCCAGCTAGAAAGTCCCCAAGTCCTCCTGGAAGGCCTTGGAGAAAGGCTTTGAGGTACAGAACAGGGTGCAGGGGAGGAGGGAAGGGAAACAGGAAGCAGTCCACGGAGTCAGGCTTCAGATTCACAGTCTCTGGAGGGCTGTAGCAGCTCTGCGCAGGCTGCCTGGGTGGTGGGAGCTCAAGGCGCCCATTCTGGCAGGTTCCAGAACCAGCTCCCGGGTGACCTGGAGGGAGGGAGAGAGGGGGCGGTGAGCAGAGGTGTGAGGCAGGCCCTCTGGGAGGATGGCAGGTAGCCACGGGTGAGGGAGCGGGAAACCCAGCCAGAGGCACAGTGAACGCGCTCTGCCTAGCGCCAGCAAGCTCCTGGGACATGGCAGAGGGAGGATTCAGACCCCTGCGGGAGCCGGACTCTAAGGCACTTCGTCCTAGGCTGGGGGGGCCAACACTTACTGAGGAACTAACAGAACTGGCGAAACTTCCATCCTTGCTGGGTGGTGTCAGAGGAAGGATACCAGCGCACCTGCAAGAGAAGCCAGCGTCAGGAACCAGCTGGGTCGTCCTTTCCCACAACAGGGAGCTCGGCAAACACAGCCTTCAGTGTCCCCGCTGGAGTCCAGCTTCTGCCACTGACTGGCTGCAGATATCAGACCAGTTACTCACCTCTCAGCATCAGTCTCTTCACCCTGAAAATAGAAAAGCACCACCCGATCTGCCCCTCTGCAGGATGTAAGTTCAAGCGAGAGAAGGTTATGTAGATGCTCTCTACTCCCCTGCCCCTCCACATTCTAGGTGATGGTTCATTCAGTGCAGAATTCCAGCCACGTCCTCCCAGGAGCTTAGCCGGAAGTTCGAGACTGGTCACCCCAAGATACTGGTGCAAAGCAGAACCAGTCCTAGGCTCCCTAGCCAGTACTAGGGTCTTCCCTGGGCTCCGAGGACGGGCACTGCTGCCTCCAGGACACAGCTGACCCTGGACTGCTGGCACTAACTTAACGGAGCCCCACACTGCAGAGTCAGGAGCCTCTGCTGGCCTTTGAACTGACCAACCTCAGAGACCGCCGTATTTCTTATTCTGCCTCTTAAACATCTGGAAGCAGTTTCTTCCCTTTCTGGCTGACAGTTGTGTAGGAGGAAGCCGGTCTTGCCCTTGGCGAACAGTGGGATGCCCTCTCAGCTGGAAGCCTGGCTGGATACTAGAACCTGTTTTGCAAGAGAGGGCCAGGTTCGGAAACCGGCAGTGCCGCTGCTAGAGAAGCCTGTGGCCTGGTCCAGCCCCAGGAGCCCCAAGTGGGCCCTGACCACTGCCCTTCACCAGCCTCCCGCCGGAGCAGCCCCGCAGCAAGGAAGAGCTGACTGGCTGAGTGTCCTGCCAGGCGGACAGAGTGGGAGGGACTCAGGAAGCCTCCAGCTTGCCCTCTTCTACTACCAGGGAAGCTGAGGATTTGCATGACTGCTCAAGGCCCCACAGAGAATCTGCGAGACCCCCCTCCCATTCCCCAAAAGGTGCTGCACCTCCAGAGCAACCTGAGACGAGGCAGCTGATGCCTTGGGGGGGAGATCAGGAAAGCTCCCATCTAGGGGCTCAGGGCAGCCATGGGAAGCAGGCAGCGTACCCTCAGAATGGCTGCTTTTCCATTTCCCTCAGGTGCCTGGCACAGGCCAGTGGCCTGGGTCCTCAAGAAGCCCCACAACCCCTTCATGATCTCTTCCTTCCACCCCACTCGAAACAGGAAAGCCACAGGCCCAGGGGGCAGGGCCAGCATGATGGGGGAGCCAGCAGCCAGGGGCTTTTCCAGGCTTCCAGCATCCACAGCAGGGTGGCAGCTCCTGAGGCCACCCCACAGGCTGCGACACCCAGGCTCCAAGAGGGCGGCTTCACAACCCAGGGGAAGGACACCAACTCAGCCCTCCCCAAGATCTTAGGACAGGCTAACGAAAGCTGTCCCAGGAAGCAGGTCAGGGAATGAATCTGCAGAAGAAAATAGGAACAGCCAATAAACATAGACCCTCACTCAGAAAGTCAGTTAAAACAATACTTCTCCCAGATTGGCAAGTCTGCACGCTGGCCTTGTAGTAGATCTAGGAATTTATCGCAAGGAAAACAAAACAGGAGAGATGCCCAATGAAGTGTGAACGAGGACATCCACTGCAAATAGCCCATCAGCAGCAAAAAAACTGTGTTGCAAACAAGCTAGCTTACCATCTACAGAGAGCTGGACACATGGTACAAGGGGGTACTTGCCAGGGATCCAAAACATAGATCTATACTTACTGACGTTTTTTTATTTTTTATTTTTTATTTTGGGAGCGGCCACTGCACTCCAGTCTGGGTGACAGATGAGACTCCAACTCAAAAAAAAAAAAAAAAAAGACTGCAGTGAGCTGTGATCATGCCACCACATTCCAGTCTTGGTAGTAGAATGAGACCTGACTCAAAAAAAAGTCCCAATGTTTAAGCTTTTTTGGTTAGTCTCACTCTGTCACCCAGGCTGGAGTGCAGTGGCATGCTCATGGACACCACAGCCTCAACCTGCTGGGCTCAGGTGATCCTTCTGCCTCAGCCTCCCAAGTAGCTGAAACCACAGGCTTGTACCACCACACTCGACTAACTTTTTTATTTTTATTGTAGAGATGAGGTCTCACCAAGTTGTCCAGGCTGGTCGCGAACCCGTGTGCTCAGACAATTCTCTAACCTTGGCCTCCCAAAATGTTGGGATTGTAGGTGTGAGCCACCATGCCGGGTGGTATTTAAGTTTTAGAAAGATAAAATATCAGCTGGGCACCATGGCACATGCCTATAATCCCAGTACTTTGGGAGATGGGGGTGAGAGAATTGCCTGACTCAGGGGTTCAAGACCAGCCTGAGCAACATGGTGAGACCTCATCTCTACAATAAATAAAAAAATTAGCTGGGTGTGGTGGCGCATGCCTGTGGTTCCAGCTACTTGGAAGGCTGAGATGGAAGGATCGCCGGAACCCAGCAGGTCGAGGCTGCAGTGGCCGGGAGTGGCCACTGCACTCCAGTTGGGGCAACAGAATGGGACTCCAACTCAAAAAAAACCAAAAACAAACAAACAAACAAAAAAACCCAGCAGACCGAAGATGTGGTGGCCGTGAATGTGCTACTGCACTCCAGCCTGGGTGACAGAGTGAGACTTTGACTTAAAAAAAAAAAAAGTCAGGCTCAGTGGCTCAGCCTGTAATCCCAGCACTTTGGGAAGCCAAGGCGAGTGGATTGCCTGAGCCCGCGGGTTCGACACCAGCTCAGGCAACCTGGCAAGACCTCGTCTCTACAATAAAATAAAAAACAGGCGGGCTGGTGCGCGTCTGTAGTTCCAGATATGCAAAAGGCTGAGGCGGAAGGATCGCTGGAACCCAGAAGGTCGATGCTGCGGTGGCTGTGAGTGTGCGTGCCACTGCACTCCAGCCCTGGGTGGAGTGAGACTCTAACTAAAAAAAAAAGTATAATAATTTTTGTAAAGCACTCATATCACGTGGCATGGTGGCTCACGCCTGTAATCTCAGCACTTTGGGAGGCGGAGGTGAGAAGACCGCCTGAGCCTAGGGGTTTGAGACCAGCCTGGGCAAACTGGCAAGACCTTGTCTCTACAACAAATCAAAAAATTAGCTGTGCATGTTAGCAGGTGCCTGTGGTTCCAGCTACTCAGGAGGCTGAGGTGGAAGGATCACCTGAGTCCTGCAAGTTGAGGCTGTGGTGGCCATGATCTTGTCACTGCTCTCCAGCCTGGACAGAGTGAGATTCTGCCTCAAAAAATTTAAAAAGAAATTGGAAAATTTTTTTTAAAAAAGGGAAAAAGAGTCATCAAAGACGCCAGTCTCTGCGTCTTTGATGGGAATGGAAAGTGAAATTCAGTTTGGGAGCATGCTGGGATGCAGGAGGACATAGAGAATCCATGTGTTTGGGTCACCCATCCTTCTGTGCTAAACTCCACTGTGTCCCCGCCGTCTCCACTGGCTTCTGTGCCTCACTCTCTTCAGGGGCAAGAGTCTATCAAGAGGCTCGCTTGTGCGAGACACCATGTGACTGCGGGCCCCAGGCCCTGCTTGCACCCCATGGCTTGCACCCCATGTGGAGGCCGGGGCTCAGGCTGGACTATGGACAAAGGGCATGCGGTTAGGGCAGAGAAAGGAGGTGCCAGTTCCTATCCCCTGTTGTCCTTCAGCTGTCATCACTCCCTGAAGCCACCTCCTTGCCTCCAAGCACAGGCTCTCTACTGGTCCTCTGGATTCAGAACAGTCCGCTCAAGAGCAACAGTGTCCACCTCCTTCATGTAGACGCCTTTAGCCTCTGTTTCTGAGGCAGCACCGTCAGGGGGGAAGAAGGAGGGTCCAGGAAGGAAAAGACAAAATGTCATAATGTGGAAGACACTCTGTGCCTATTACTGCACTTGGCCTGACCGCCATTTTACTGTCAAGAAAATGGATGTCCAGAGAACCGGAGACAAGGGCAAAACTAAGGACTATCTGATCCAATCTCTCACCATTAGCCTGTCTCCTGAAAAATGCCACTCTCCTCTGAGGTGGCCTCCAGCCCTGTCCTCACCCAGAAAGGCCAGAAGGCAGGAACTCAGGCACTATGAGGCCTCTAGCCTCAGACAGGACCTGAGTGGGGCCCAGACAATCATGACCATCTGCACTAAAGAAGCACTTCCTCACTGCTATCAACAACCCTATCGAGTGGGTATTCTTTTTTTTGGGCAGAGTCTTACTCTGTTGCCTGGGCTGGAGTGCAATGACACACTCATGGCCACTGCATCCTCAACCTGCTGGGCTCAGGCTATCCTTCCACCTCAGCCTTCCAAAGTAGCTGGAAACACAGGCACACACCACCACACCTGGTTAATTTTTTTACTTATTGTAGAGATGAGGTCTCGCCATGTTGCCCAGATGGGTCCCAAACCCCTGGGCTCCCAAAGTGCTGGGATTACAGGCCTGAGTACCGCGCCCGGACTAAGTGGGTTCCTTATCACCATTTTACAGCGACACAGAAAGGTTAAGGAATTTGCCCATCATCGCACACGTGTTAAGAGACAGGATCAGGATTTGGAATGGAGTTGGACAGCTGGGAGAAAACTGGAAGAAGACAATGGGAGGCCCACAGCCCCGCTGTATGGAGCTCAGGGCTGAGTGGCAGTGCACCACCCCCAGCCAGCGGGCTGAGGGGCCTTCCTGGATTCACTTGAGAAACTCACTGTCCCTGGCTTCCAACCTCTGCCAAGGCCTGGTGTCTCAGAGAGTATGGGGTAGAACCTCTCCACCTGATCCGATCTAACCCTCTCATTTTACAGATGAGGACACGGAGGCCCAGAGGTGAAGATCACATCGCTAATTGGTGGCAAAGCTCGGATCAGAGGCAAGACGCCCAGCAAGGCGGGAGCCTGTGATTCCGCCCAGTGCCTTGCAGGGCCCTGCAGTTAAACCAGGCCTGCCCGCCTGCTCCAGCGCACCAAGGACCGGCCCACATCAGGGCAGACTGGACAGCCTTCCTGCTCTTGCTCCATTCCAGCCACAGACTCTGGTTTACAGTAAACACCCAAACATTTCACTCCAGGGAAAGGTCCCTACAGTCTTCCTTATCTGATCAGTTTTCAAGCTATCTGTGGTGCTCAGCTGGAAAGAGCACCAAGATTAACCTCAATTCTGCCCTCAGTGCAAGTCCAAGCTGTGGTGACCAGGGATCGTTCCCCTGCCGGGGAAAACAGCTTGCTAAGGTTGTAGCCCAGAATCTGAACTTGATGTCACCAAGCCCCTCAAAGGGCCTGAAAATGGATGTGCCCTTTGCTCTGGGGCAGAGCATTCAAACTCTCCCACCTCCAGCTTCTGGGTGCTACATCCCCTCCCTTCCTGGCTTCTCTTCTCCTTTCCCTCCTCATCCCCTCCCCTTCCTCTCGCCACCTGGACCCAGCAACCTTGATTCTCTGCCTCTCAAAATACAGCACAGGCCAGGTTCAGTTGCTCAGCCTGTAGTCCCAGCACTTGGGGAGGCCGAGGCAAGTGGATTGCCAGAGCCTGTGGGTTCGAGACCAGCCCGGGCAACTTGGCGAGACCTTGTCTCTACAATAAGTCAAAAATTAGCTGAGTGTGGTAGTGTGCACCTGTAGTTCCGGCTACTTGGAAGGCTGAGGCGGAAGGATCGCCAGAGCCCAGCAGGTCGAGGCTGCGGAAGCGGCTACTGCACTCCAGTCTGGGCAACAGAGTGAGACTCCAACTCAAAAAAAAAAAAACAAGAGTGACCCAGTCAGGGTCACTCTTCCCAAGGCTCAGCCCTCGGTCGCTTGGCTGATCAGAAGCTGAGGGGCCACTCTCAAGACCTCTCTTGGACTTCCTCCTGGGGCTGCCTGGTGGCACCCTGTCATTGCACTGTGAGGCACATCCCTCTCCCACACAGTTGGACAAGGCCTCCCCTGAGCTGTGCTCCAGGAGCCTGCACTGGGCCAGAGTCTGACCCCTGCCTGCCCCTCACACACCTGGCCCCGCATTCAGCCCTCCTGGCCCAGCTCTAACCCTCCCCAGCTGCCCCCTAGAAGTGCCTGCTCCCACTCTGCTGCCCCAGGGCCAGCTCCCAGTGGACAGTGCCCAGTCTTCACAGAAGCAAGAGCACCAACGAGCTCCTGGGATGTTCCAGGCACAGTTCTGGCACTCACATGTCACTGCACACATCTGAACACTTCATTGCCCCAACAGCCCTAAGAAAGACTACTGGTCCCACTTTCCAGGTGAGTGAATATCGAGGCACAGCAATCTTCAAAAGTGCAATGTTCATTAAGACGGGACAAGGGGCTGGGCCTGGTGGTGTGCACCTGCAGTCCCAGCTACTCAGAGGCTGAGGTGGCAGGATCGCCTGAGCCCAGGAAGTCAAGGTTGTGACCGTGCCACTGCACTCCAGTCTGGGCAACAGAGCAAAACCCCGACTCAAAAAACAAAACAAAACAAAAAACAAAAAAGAAAGGGTAGAGGCAGGTGGGCTGGTTCCAGAAACTACACCCAGGTTGGGACTCGAATCACTGTGGTCCCTGTCACCACAGGAGGACACAGGGGTGCCAGGGGTGCTTAGGGGTGGGCAGACCCCATGTCCTGCTCTGCAGCCTCTATGGGAACTCATAGCTTATCTTCTGTTTCTGGCTCTGAGAGCCCAAACCCAAGCACACAGTCCCTGGGGCTGGGGCTTCCAAACTGTCGAGGAAGACAGCAGTTCAATGGCAACTCTGGGGGACAGAAGCAGTGCAGCAGCCAGGCAGGTACAGCAGTCTGACAAGCTCAGAGCTCTCCTTGACTCTCCCTTCCCTCCCCACAGGGACTTACCTGAGCATGGAGGGCAGCGGCGGCAGCAGCAGTGGTGGCCGGATAGGTGAATGCAGCATGGGAGATGGCTGGGGTTAGCTCCGTGGTGTACAGGGGATAAGGGGCCCAGGCCTCTGGGGACGCAGGGATCAGAGCAGCCCCCATCAGGTCATCTGTAACAGGAGACAGCGGCCTCCACTGTCAGAACATTTATCTCCCTTTCCAAACAGAGAAGGGGACCCAGCATGATGGCTGACCCACCACTAAAGCCAGGCTCCTCCCCTCACCCGCTCGAGGACCCCAAGACCAGAGGGAAGCCATGCTAGCTCAGTCTGACATGGTGGGCACCTGTCTGCTGCCAGGAACTCTCAGGCAGGCCTCAGCCATCTCAGCCAAGAGAAAGCAGAGACGGCTTCAGAGACACTATACAACTGACTAGGACTCAGGAAAGGCTTCGGGAGGGAGGGAAGCCCAGCAGTCTCAGAGATGGGTGGCTGTGGATGCAAGAAGCCTCCCGGAAAGGGGCCAGACAGGCAGGACTGACCCCTCAACAAGAACCTGAATGTCTGCACTGTATGCAAGTCCACCGGGGCCTGCAGCTCAGGACACATCAAAGGGCAGGAGAAAAATGTCACTATCAACGGGCTCAGTGGCTCAGCCTGTAATCCTGCACCTTTGGGAGGCTGAGGTGAGTGGACTGCCTGAGACCGCGGGTTC